GCAAAGAAATGAGAAGGACTTTAGAGAAGGACGGTTATGTGGACAGTTGCGCTCCGAAATGTGACAGACCAATTCAATATTGCTTCGACGTTTATGGACAGTGCCAATTATCTGGGTGCAAAACATTGTCAATGGTCAAATGCGCGTATTGTGCCAAGAACATATGTTTCCAGCAGTTTTTCATCGAATGCCACCGATGTGTTTAGAATCCTCAACTGTTTTTTCAATAAAAAAACAAAAAAAAATTGAAAAAAAATTTTGAAAAATCTTCGATTTGTGAATTTCTTCAAAAATTAAATGTCTGTTTTTCTTCTGGAAGATGCCTATTCATAACGAGAAACTCCCGAAAAACATGTTTAAATTGCGTAAATATTATTTCAGAGCCAGTTATGGCAGCTTAAAATTAAACAAAAAAAAATTTTGCAAAATTTTTGGGATCGGGAGAATCGAACCTACAACCTTCCTCCTCTGAACTTGCCATTTTACCACTTTACCACACTGCTGATTGAAATCCATTGTTTGAAAAGAAATACACTATTACGTGAAAAAAATTTCACGAGAAATTGCTTAATCATAGGGAAACTTTTCTAGGTCATAACTCAGCTCATGTGAGCATTTTGCTGATTTTTTAAACAGATTTGGAATCCTCATAAGCTCTTCAATGTGCTCCCAAAATTTCAAAAAAAGTTAAACCCGCTCCTTCAAGTAACTCCCTTGTAAGACAAATTCAGAGAAATGAAATGAAAATCTCATGAAGCTGAGCACTTTTAAAGAACCAAGCACGAAAACAAAGGAGTCATTCTTATTTTCGTCTAAATTTTGACATTGTTCTTTGTCTAAATTACACATTTGACTATTCCCTAGAATATTTTGGATGATGAAAAAAGCGCATGATCGCTGACTGAGTCACAATGATGTCTGAGATATCCGGAATGGCTCATCTCTATGGAATTCTTGATATTCTGACTTTGGAAGTAAGAAACACAGAAAAAAGATTGAGTTTAAGTGTTCAAAAAACAGTGAAAATAATTGAAACATTTTAACACAGTAAATGATAAATGTGAGTGAGATTTGAAAAAAAAGGAATTCATCTGTTTTTTTTTCTTGGAAGAAAAAAAAAATAGTATGAGCTGCTCTCCTCCGCAGTCTTGTCTGCTTGGTGCAAAATTAGCTAAATATCAATGAGTAATAAAAAAACAAGCGGAACCGGATTTTCCAGGCCTTGCGAATGTGGAGCTTTCGAGAAGGTCAATTCGGTATTATGCAAAAGAGAATGTTCAGAATGAAGTTCTGTTTGGAATGTGATTCTGAAAATAGATATTCGGAACAGAAAATATAGGGTTTCAGAAATGATGTGATAGAAAGTTTACTGTATTTTCAAATGCGCATGTCACCTTCTGTCTTGGTGTTTCGAGTGGGTTCATCTTGTCAGCAGTTTTTACAAATTCAGGTTTTTGATTCCAAAATCCCCTAAATACGGTTAAATGTTCGAAAACTTTCCGAAGGTTTTGCATTCTGAAAATCTGTTTTTTGTAGAATCCGGAATTTTCGTTTCAGAACAATCAGAAACTCCGGAAAACCCGAAAAAATTCATTCCGAACAGTTCACTCCCAAATCCGTCCACCTGATAACGGACTCATTTTGGGCCGCTGCTTTTCAACCTCTCACTTTTCAACGGAGTGTGGGTCATAACTACGTGTGGGGGTATAATGGAATTTTGCCGGAAATACGTTATGCAAAGCTTTTATCACTCCCATTATTGAATTCAAATGAAGGGAACGCTGTGAAAAATTATTTCCTCATGAGCTTGTTTTTCTAAGAAATTCTAATTCAAAACCTCCAAAATTAATTCCAACTTCTCGGAAATGAACATGTGGGAGTCAGAGATTAGCATTTCTGTCTGAAATACCTTAAACCATTCTTTAATTTAAAAAAAGGAAATGGTCGACGCCAGTTATCCTAGCTTCCAATGGTGGCCTCTTTGGGCTTTCTATTTCCTTTTTATCATCGCTTTTCCTATTTATTTATTTATTTTTGTCATTTTAATCAGGCTGAGAAAATCGAATTCTGTATTTCGATCCTCGTTTTACACTCTGTTATTGCAGCAGGTAAACAACAAACAAAGCATCTCTTGAAATCTTGTATTTTGAATTTCAGATAATTGCGGATCTTCTTAGTCTGATAGTCTACCTGATTTTCAAAATTACTACCAGTGTTTTCGCAGAGTATTTTTTCATCCAGGATGTTATTCCATTTGCCCAAAGTAACATTTTATTGAAGGAAAGTAATCAATATACATTTTTTTCAGTTTATTTCAATAGTGTCTACTGGAGCATTGTATATCGAGCTCATGGAATTGTCCTATTGACTATTCATCGGTATTTAGTAATTGTGAAAACTTCATCAAAACTGACTCATGTAAAAACTAAAAAGGAAAAACAACAAGAATCCAAAAAAAAATTTCAGTTTATCCTAAATGAAAAACCTTGGCTTATTTGGTTCCGTTTCTGGATTCCACCAACTATTTTCAATTTCATTTTCTTTTTGGATACTAAAATCCGATTTGGGATGGGACAGATTCTAATATTCGCTATGGATACTTTAATTGTAGATGTAAGGTTATTGTCGAATTAAAAAAAGTGACACCTGAGAATTTGAAAACTTTTGCTTTTTTTGATCTACGAAAAAGTGCGGCAAAAACGTAATATTTCAGAATTTCGGCTCGTTCGAGCTACTTTCGTGTTTAATTTTAGTTTTTTGCTTAAAATAGATTCTAGAGATGCTAGCGATCCTTTTTATATCAAGAAATCAAAATTTTGTTCAGAAAATCCCACTAAATTCACATGAATAAATTTGTTATCTACAGTATCCGTTTTCGCTCCGCTCCCTTGTAAATCGACACGAGCGCCGTCTCCGAGATTTTCAGGTGTCACTTTTTTTAATCCGACAATAGAATTGTATTTCAATTTCATAATTACTTTATTTTCAGCGCTACGCAGAAGTAATAATTATATTTTTGAGTATTTCTTGCTTGATCTGTTTTGTTTCCTATGTCCTCATCATCTGGTTCGTGAGATCCAAATCTAATGCTATGTCACAGTATGTTCAAAAGATTGAAAGCTAAAAATAGTTTTATATCCTTCAGATCAATCAAACGGGAACTACTTCTTGCATTACAAATGATTCTTCCATGTTTTGGACTTTTTGTGTTACAGGTGTACATGTCTTTTCTCCATTGTTTTGCTACTAATGACAATGTGAGTTTTTCAAGAACTATAAAAACTAAAAAGAATATTCTAGGGCTTCATGATCCAATGGATCCGCGGATTTTTTCCACTTGTAAATGGCATTATTTCATTTATTGGACCAGTTACAATCCTGCTATTCAACATGGAATTGTCTTCGAAAATTAAGATAATTTTGATGAATCGAAAGTCAATCAGCCCGTCTATATCATTAGCGCCACCTCGATCAATCAAATCAATTGCCACTAATTATTTGAATGCTTCTAAATTTTTGACTTGAGTTTGCATTGAAATGAAACTTTCTATAACGTACTTTTACGGTAAAAATTTTACCTACTTTGTAAAATCGTTCTCCTGGTTTATGGAGTTTCTTCTAAAATCTTCCTTTTTGTAACCCATTCTGTTTTCTCAAAATTGAGAAAGCCGATTTAAAGTGTTTCAGGCATTTTGCTATGCATTGTTAGTTCTTTTTTAAACTTCAAACATCAATTTATGCTAAACCTTTTTCAGGCTGAATATATAAATCCCCAGATTTATTACTTGTATACTTAGTCCTCTGGAAATCTTGTGACTTTACTGAAATAAAATGTTCATAATTTCTTAATTAGTTTTCGAAGTAAACAACTTTTTGTCTGGATATCAAGTTCTTGAAATTTGGAACAAACTGAACTTTTTGAACTGATCATTTTCCCTTTTGCCACTGAACAATGAATCCGTAAGTTTCTCCCGGTTTTTTCAAATATTTTTCCTGAAACTTAGTTTTAGAGTCATGACACTTTTAACTTAAACCGTGCATACCGTTAACACTTATAGAATGACATTCTTACCGTTTAGCATTGAGCCAATTTATATGGGTGAGAGATATCAAAAAGTAGTGAACTGACCAAAATATTTTTTTCAAACTATGATGAACATTTTGTCAGTTGACTACTTTTCGATAGCTTTTTCAAGATATTAGATAAACTTTCTCAAAGGGGCGGATAATTGGGGATATCCTATTGTTAATGTTAACCGTAATTCGAATGTGGAACAATAAAGTTTTTCCTGTAACAAGTTTTCTGATATTGGCTGAAATAGAAACTTTTATCGGAAAACGAAATTGAACAATAGTTATGGGTAGGGACCATTCCAATGTTCGGGAACAACAAAAAAAATCCCAGTACGATAAAAGTATTTTTAAGAGACACTTCCGATTTCGATAAAGCTGTAGATGTTAAAACAAACAGTGCCAGTTATCAAATGCCTTTGGTAATTTATTATGTGCTTTTTGTGTTCATTTTTCCAGCTTACATTGTAATTTTGGTATGTATTTTGAAGTGGAGAAAGCGCATTGTTATATTCAAATCAACTTTTTATACAATTTTAATTCAACATGTGGGTTCAGAGAAAACGGGAAAATTGGAATAGATTTTAGAACTTTCAGACTATCGCCGATATTTTGGCTTTGTTATTTTACGCTTCGCAGAAGTTCCTATATGTTACGATTCCATACTTTTTGTTCAAGTATCAACGCTATAGAATTGCAGCAGGTGACCGAAATTAGTTTAAATTAAAACTTAATGTCTATGAATTCTGAAGTTTTCTACAACGGTTTGTATTGGTTCATGACAATTCACAGATTCCTGATAATTGTAAAACCAAATTTAAAAATGACACAGGTACGTAGTCCAAGGAAATTTCTCTTAAAATATTTTCAGTGGACTCAAAAATCGAAACCCTGGAAGGTTTGGATCCTTTTCTGGGGTCCATCCATCATTCTGAGCGCCGTTTTCTTTTCAGATACCGAGATTGGTTTCGATTCTCTTGAGAAAATGTTGCTAGCGATGGATCCAGAAATTATAAGTGTAAGAAGCAATAGAAAATAATTGATTTTTGGAGATTTTTTGTAGAGATACACTCGAATAATATTCTTGTATCTTCTGGTAACCTGTCTAGTTTGTTTGACCACTTATGCCATGATTTTTAAATCTATAAGAATCAAGAGTCATTCGGAATCCAAGTAGGTTTGAACTATTATGATACCGTACTTTATTTTATTTTTTATTTCTTAATTAATAACTTTGTTCACACTTTCACATTCAGATCTCTCCAGCGAGAAATTCGTCTTGCATTTCAAGTGTCTTTTTCTTTTGGCGCCCAACTGATTCTGCTGATTTATCTCTTGCTCTCCAACGTTTTTGCGGAAATGGATAATGTTACAAACAACTATAACTGAAAATTCTCGCTCTGTTTTTTTCATACTGAACAAATTGTGATTCTTCGAAAATATTTTCCACTGGCCTACGGTACTTTTTCTTTCATCGGACCATTCACAATTCTGATTTTTAACAAAGATGTTTCGAAACGGATGAAACTTTTGATCCTTAGAAAAAATCAGGTAAAGATAAATTGAATATTTTTATCCAGTTGTTGATATTGAAGGATGGTCATACGGAATCATCAGTTGTATCTACTCTGAAACCGAAAACTGTGACTGTGACTTCAAAAACGTGATTTTATGTTTGTGACATTACCCGGTCTCGAATGGGTAATCATGCGTCTTAATTTTTGAAGAATATTAACCAAACTACATGAAAGTCTCAAAAATGAAAAAGTGCTAATAAAGTTGAATCATAAATGATATTATTTTTGAACTGAAGTCTTTCCTTAATTTCTCTGATTGTGAAATAGTTAGAAGAACAACAATAAAAAATCTCGTCGAATCTGAAGTTATGACTTTGTAAGTTTAAAATTAGCTTCGGCAGATGTTCGAACCGATTTCAGCTACTTTTTCAATTGGTGGCAGATGGGAGTGTATGCACTATTTTTCCTTTTTATTAATCCTTTATCTATTTTCGTTTTTATTTTCATTTTGAAATTAAGAAGACAGGGAGGACTATTCAAGACAGCATTTTATACAATACTAATTCAGCAGGTATGATTACCATAAACACTAATCAAACGCCAAACCGTCAACTTTGAGCTCATATATCTCATTTCCTATAAAAGATATCAACAAGTGGTCAACAAACAAATTATTTGTTAAAATGTCTTAAATATTTTGTTGATTGTTTACCTTTTGGTATCTTCCACAGGAACCGATAGGTTCAAAGTTAGGGATGGCGTTCTATTAGAGTTTTTACGGTAATTTCAGATTTCGATTCTGAAATACCATTTTTTGCAGAACATTGCTGATTTTATATCTCAATTATTCTACTCTGTTCACAGATTTGTTTTCGTCATACTTTTTCATTTAATATTCTACCATCCAGAACTAAAAATCGCCGCAATTTATTACAACGGAATCTATTGGTGTACCATATTCCGAGTGAATGGAATACTTTTCATGACCATTCACCGATTCCTAGTCATTGTGAAACCAGTTCACAAAATCACTTGGTTCATCCAACAAGCTAAACCCTGGAAAATATGGTCCATTTTTTGGTTGCCTTCAATAATACTCAGTCTCTTTTATTTCATGGACCCTGAAATCGGATTTGATTCTCCTGAAAATATGTCGATGTCTGTGGATTTCTCAATTGTTAACGTAATTTTGGTTTATCTGAAAATCTGAAAATATAATTCTTGAAATTTCAGAAGAACACCAGATTCTCATCTGCTTACTTTATATTACTTGTGCTGCGTGTATTGTTCTTTATGGATCGATTCTGCAGTTTATCAAAGAAGAAAGTCACTCGATCTCGCAAATACAGAAAAGAGAAATCCGCCTTGTTTTTCAAGTACTTCTCTCATTTTTTGCTCAATTCATTTTTCTTATTTACTTCCTGATTGTACATGCATATACCCTTTTGGATGATGTAAGTTCTAATTTCTAATGCTTATTTCGTAAATTGTTTTTCAGAACAACGGAGTAGTGGAAACGAGAAAATACTATCCGATTGCGTATGGTACTCTATCTTACATCACTCCATTCACCATATTAATTTTTAACAAAGATGTTTCTCGAAACATTCAAAATCTGATATCGAAAAAAACTAAGGTAAACATCATAATTTTTTGGCCAATACACGCTCTCCCCAGCTCCCAATATGAACTGCAAGCCTTTTTCTCAGCGGAGCGCGGTTGCGCGCGGCGAAAATTTTTATTTTTTAAATTTTGTACTGAAAAACCGGTTTTTAGCAAAATTTTCTTGCTTTTCGCTAATTTTTTTTTTAATTTTTCGTCAATAAGAATTGTTAAACCGGCTAAAACACACATTTTAAGTACAAAAGCAGCAAGTTCCGACTGAAAATGAAAGAGGTGATAGATTTTTAAGCAATTTTCTAAAAACGGAAATTTCTCGAATTGTTCAGTGTTTTAAGAATTTATTTTGTTAAACTATTGTAAAGAATTCATTTTTGAGTATTTCGAATTATTATCCGTCAAAATTCTCTACCGGTCAAAAAAGATATTGCGATTTTTAGAAAATTGCTTAAAAATCTATCTCCTCTTTCATTTTTTATCGGAACTTGCTTCTTTTGTACTTAAAATGTGTGTTTTAGCCGGTTTAACAATTCCTATTGACGAAAAATTTAAAAAAAAATTGGCGAAAAGCAAGAAAATTTTGCTAAAAACCGGTTTTTCAGTACAAAATTTAAAAAATACAAATTTTCGCCGCGAGCAACCGCGCTCCGCTGAGAAAAAGGCTTGCAGTTCATATTTTTCACTGGGGAGAGCGTGCAATAATGTATTTGAAGAACCAAAGTTTTTAGGATGGAATATCGGAATCACTTGGCGGTTCAATAACAGTCCAGCGGAGAAACACTGGAACCATGTTGATATAATGACTGCGATAAAATGGAAACTGAGTCGTAGAACTTGTAAATTTTCAAAATAGAAAGTTATTTTTATTCGTAATGGAATTTAGATGAACGAAGAACAATGACACTTTCCCGTTTCATGGTCAAAGTATGTTTTGAAAAATCATAGTAACATGTTTCGTCTATTTTAGTTGTAGTTGGAATAACATAACAGTGTTTGAATTTTATATGACTTTTATTATTAGAAACAAAAATTTTAAAAAAAACAAGTTAACATAGAAAACAATTAGCGATACTTGTTTTGATAGCGTCCCTTCTTGGCTTTCGGTTGTTCCGGCTCCTCCCACGATCCACTTCTTTTTGCTTTCTGAGCTTCAGCGATTCTTTGATTTCGAGCCTCCATCAACATCTGTTTGACACTCTTGACTCCTTCTTCTGCTTTCTTTTCCGCCTCTTTCTTCACTTCACGTCGTGCCATCATCATTCTCTCCATTCGATCGTTCTCGGCTTTCTTCAGTTCTGGTGATGTCTTTATTGGAGCGGAAATTGGAATATTCTTGAAGTTGGAGGAAGAATTGGTGAGCACTGTTTTCGATTTTGGCACAAACTTTGCTGGGTTCGTTCTCTTGGAGGCAATCAATCCCATTAGTTCGTCGTTCGAAGGTGGCGAATTGGATGACGTCCTCTTTGAGTTGAGGGCGACATCAGTTCTTTTTGAGAGCATGGCGTTAGGAGAGTTGGAAGACGTGACTCGGCGCACGAAATTCGTTTCATGTTGAACAGAAGTTGGTTGTACGGATGGGAGACGAGAAGACGATCCAGTCGTATTGCATGGCACAGGTTGAGAATTCATCGGCTTGGAAATCGGTTCGGTGGAATTTCTAGAAGATCCACTAGACGAAGATGATGACGATTCCGTACTCCAGGCACGCTTGCGGCTCTTCTCATTCTTTTATTTGACTCCTTCTGCTCCATAATATTGATCTTTCCAATCACTCTTCTCGCCAAGTTTCCGACTTGTGGGCACTGAATGTATCTGGCAACCAACTCCTTGATCTTCTCCTCTTTCAGCATCGCGAGTGGATAGTTTTGCTCCAAAAGAGTTTGGAGACAGGAAGGTACCGTGTTGAGGGCAGAGTCCAGATCGTAGGCGATGACGGCCACTTGATCGCACACATCGTTGTCGGTGAAAGACATATTGATGAGTTAGTGTTGAGTGTTAGGGATCTGAAAAATAAAATTGAATAAAGTGAAGAATAGAAAAAGATTGGGAATAATTTCGATAAAAGTTAGAGAATATCGAATCGAAGATCTTGATCTTGAGAATCTAGAAAAAATCGATTCGATCGAAAAGTACTGTAGACAAGGAAAGGAAAGAGAAAGAAGAGATAACCGGATGTGAATGACTAATACCAAAAATATTCCTTACGTTAGGAAAGGGGCGGGGCTTAGCTAACCATAAGTCTCCGCCCCTTTTGAGGAAAATGTCGTCCCTGGGAAAGTGAGAGAAATAGTATGGGAAAAGGAGAGCGAGAATGAGTCAAGGGAGATAGATAGACGGAAATGATAAGATAACTCAGAAGCTATCAGCACAGCTATTCGAGATTTCTGAAAATTGTGGATATGATATGAGTAAAGAATAAGGTTAAGAATCATATATTCGAACGTTTGGGATGTTTAGGATTGTTGTATGGAATTGATTCTCGAATAAAAGTAACCATATTTTTAGCTTGAAAGATCGCAAAATCTAAATAATATAGACAACACCTGATGAAATTATTAGTTTTTAACCTGAAAATTGAAATTAAATTCTTTTAGAAATCTAAGCACTGCTCAAATAATTTGGAATTGCTTAGAGGACAGGAGATTTTTGAGATTTTGTTGAAGTTAGGAGATGCATTCTGCCGTAACGGTGTGCAATGCTTACAAGTTAATGTTCACTCTGCTTAATCCTATCGTGTCCGCATTTATCTATCTCATCGCTCGGCCTCCGAGCTTGCGCCACCTAGTAGCTCAGCCTATAGCGGTAACAAGCTCAACTTCTCAAGGGGCGTATAAAAACGGAATTTCGAGCAAATTTTTTGCATGTCACCTTCAATTACTTCAGAGTTTGAATTCAAGAAAACTATAAAACCGGTCGAACATGTGGCCGACCCTTTGAACTCCAATAACTTTTTTTCAGTTTTTGGATTCCGGATTTTTGAGTCTCCGGTATTCCAGCCACTTCTGGATTTCGCTTTTAAAACGTTTATAAGAATACAGTTGTTGATGTTTCATAATAAAAGTTTACAACTACTGCCTTTTACGGTTAGTGCATGCAATAAAAAACTGTATTGAATTATTAATAGTTATAATTAGTGTTTTACAGATTCCAATCAGAGTATCCTTTATATTTTTGGAATCCCTCGTTTTTCCCTATCCCCGGTCCTCAAACTCCCAGTGTTCAGAATACTCATCTGCACCTAGTCTTAAAAACCATACAGCAATTATAGAAGACATACGTAATCAAAGGAACTGTCAATGCTACCATCTGGTTGCGCCTTCACCCCATACCAGTGTTCAACGAATTGATAGATGTAGCAGATATATGCTGATGGGCAGTGGGCACTCCCAAAAAATAAACAATCGGGAAAAAATGACTTGAGAGGGGACACATCTTATTGGCCGCTGGGAAAAGGGTTCCATGGATAGATACTCTCTATTACACAAGATGGATAATCTAGGACTACATAATCAATTTAATTCAACTAGCAGACAATAATTGCCTGCTGCTCCCCTTTCTTTTTG